GCCAAAGGCTTTAAGATTAAGATTCTTATTTGGGACGAGTTCACACTGGCAATTGAGTCGGCCTCTACACTAAAGCCTTGTTTGCAACGAACACGTTTTCGTAAAAAAACATTATTTAGATGGTCAATTCCTTTGATTATACGTCAAATAATTGAAAAATCGTGGTAAAATACGTAATTTAAGGGCGTAGAGCGTTTGAAATACCTTTGTTCCACAATGATTTAATTTTTAAATTTAATTTTAAACAACACATTTCCCCCAATCTTCCAATTCCCCAAATTGTGTTTCAGTGGTAACATTTGTATTTGCCCCCACCGGTTTTGTTTACATGTTGATTGTTATCATAGCCTGTAAGTGTATTTGTAGGCAACGCACAGTAATCATGCATGCATACCTTTAATAATTTACTACCGTAGTTGTTGTTATTACTATTGTAGTTGGGATGTCGTACGATGTCGTTGCTCTTTATATTGCTCGCGCAAACTTCCTATGTACTTAGCAAGGGGGAAGGGAGCAATAGCAAAAAATATTTTTCAAAAAAATTTTGCCCACAATTCAAAAAAATTACTTATTTATATTTTTATATATATAAAAAATAATAACAGTTCTTTTAATTATTGTGCGTTTAGCAACACAAATTGAAACGTTTGAAAAAAGTCTACTCAGAGAGTTGCATTTCGATGTTTACGATCTCTGATCTGATATTGAGAGGGGGAGAGAGAACCGTTTGTTTTCTCAGTTATTATTAGAGAAACACACCACCAATCGTGTTGCTGGGTTCAATCGGATGATGTTTGTTTTGATGTGCCGTTCAAATTCATGGGGGGTGAGGAATCAAACGAAAACCGGTGTAAATGGGAAATATAAACAAAAAAATCAGAAGGTGGAATTGATTGGTATTGAAAATGCCCTACAATGAAAATAAAAATGCTATTTTCATGGAAAATATTTAACATAAACACGAAATTGCAAGGATGACTAATGTGCTGGCCAAATTCTCTAACGAAATTCCCACGAAAACAAAATAAAAACTATGACTAATTACCCACTCTTTCAAATTATTCCAGCAAATAAATAAATGTTGCCAAAAAAAACTCTCGGTAATTATTTATTCTTATCTCTGGGAAATAATGGCTTCGAGTGTGGCACGCCAGATGAAATATAAACAAAACATTCGTAAACAAAATAAAATAATTTAGTCTTTCTAAGAGGCCCCCGCTAGGTATTGTGTTTTATATGAGTTTTGTCACCTGTCATAATATGGTTCAAACGTGATGTTTAAATATTTACATATGGACGTTTGTTGTTTGATAATCTGTAAAATTTAATTCATAAAATATATTTATTTAAAAATACAACATTTTTTACCGATTTTTAAACTTAGTCAAGGTAGGGTGCTGTCAGATACCGCAAAACAACAAATAGGAAGAAATCAATTTTCGTCACACACACTCTGAGAGAGGGCAAAAGAAAATATAAAGTGTGAGTACACACGTCATACCATAACGATCAAATGGTGCAAAAAAATTATGAAAAAAGCCGACAAGTCTACACGCTCATGGCATGGCTACATACAATGACAATACGCAGCTTAAAACGTGTAAAAATCATTCTTTTTTTCTTGTAGTTTCGATATATTACAAAATTTCTTTTGCAAGCCAAAAGTGAAAGTCATCGTTTGCATAAGCCGAACTTAACACGCACAAACAAACAAGCAAACACTCGAGAAAGATTCACTGAAATCCAATTATTACCGATAGCTAAAAATCAATAAAATTACACAAGAAAAATTATGGAAAAAACTACTTTTTTAATAGTTTTCTTTACTAAAGACAAATAGTCAAAAAATTACTTGTACATTAAATTTTATGGAAATTATTTATTTTTAGGTCCAATACACGATTTCACCATGGTCTTTATTTTCGAATTGTATATGATTCAAATATATATTTAGTTGTTGTCACCGAAAAACCACTATTTTAATTTAAAAATTAGATAAATTTGGTATACTAACATTTTTCTATTTGCAGAGCTGTCGTTTTTGTGTATTTATCGCACTTAAATTTTTTTATTTTTGCAAATCGACCACTGAAAACGAAGCCAAGTAATTTTTAGTAACGGCGGCATAGAATAATACTCCGACGCAAGAAAAGGATTACCACAAATCGATTTTCCAGTTATCGATTGTGTTGTAACTAGAGGGGAGTACACACCATAGTTTTTGCTCTTGAAAAGTGCTGTCACAAATGTATTGATAAATGAACTCTATTACCCCGGGCTTTAATAAGCACTGGACAATTGTTTACAAAATGTAAAGCATCGGCGTTCAGTATTGCGTTGCAGTAACAATCAAGTATCTGAAACCGTAACCGATTTTTCTTCATGTTATCGGAAGTATAGTAATTATTTGTTGATTCTGAAAAATAACTAATAAAGGGTGATTGTTGAAGAGCTTTAGTTGAAGATCTGGACCCGACCAATTGTAGAAATTGCTCTATTTCAGAACTGCAAGAATGTGAAACTTTTTACTACTGTAACCGATGTTTACTTTATGATATCGAAAATAATTCTAAACTAGAAGATTCTTGCAGGTTCTAGAACAGAGCAAAAACTAGTAGATTCTTGCTGGAACAGAACTTTGAAGGTTGTTATGATATGCCTTTTTTATGAATTTTTACAAACTAGAATAATTTTTCATTCAAAATTTTCAATTCAAGAATAAGTTTGACAGTTCATTGTCCTCGCAGCTGTGTCGATGTGACTACCTGTGTTCTTCTACCATTATACGCACCAAGGAGAGGGAAAATTTTTTAAGTGCACGATCAGTTTTGACTAAGAATTTGCTTAAACATCCATTGCTTCAGTTAATTTTACGTATAAAAATTATTTTTAATATTATTGAATTCAGTTAAAATAAAAATGGCTATTCGGATTGTTCTCTAAAGGTGAGGGCATCATGTCTAGGCATAGTGTCAAATTATAAGGGGAAACGACGGCAGGATATGAGTGCGGATCTGACATTCTTTTATGATGTGTCAAAAAAAAAAAAATATGCCATGCGAAGACTTCAAGCTTCTTATTTATCTACACCATAAATTCCCCTCTAAGTTATCGAATAAAATAGATGCTCTGTTCCAAAACCTGCGAGAATCTACTATTTTTGCAATTTTTTCGATATCATAAATGGAAAATCATTTGTCGTAGTAAAAACTTTTACATTTTTACAGTTCGAGAACGTTTAACGTTCTCTTCTGAATTTATAAAAAGCAATTTGATTTCATGGTAGAATTAAGAAGGTAAAGTCAAGTATATTTTTTTTCAAAATTATTCGTTTGACAACATTTTATTGTCAAAATGGATTTTTATAAATTCGTTGTACATACATGAATGTGAAATTTGCTATTTTGAAACGACTTTACCTTCTTAATTTTACCATTGTTATTTACAATTTAAAACATGAAGCACATCATAAATAACTTTTTGTTTATAGATTTCTATTGGTTTTTAAAATTTGAAACTGTTTTAATACAAAATTCACATTTTAAAAGTAGTCATATTTGCCATTAAAAACGCAATTTGTCATGTGACCATATCACTTAAGGCATGTCCGTTATTTCATTTTTGCCGGCGTCATTGGAATAGACTACGGCACGGCGTTACAGATGAAGGAGTTGTTGTTTTTGTTATCATATGATGTTTGTTTTGATTTAAAACTTCAGGGGTTGGCAGACGGTTTTTAAAACCCTGCAAGGGATTCAGGTTTTCGATCTGGTGAACTCTGTGAACTCCAGCTCATGTCTGGCTTTCGACCTACTAAGCCCTGAGTGCGTTCTTTTTCGATCTGTTGGTCCCTTTAAAATTTGAACCTGGAAGCGTCCCAACGGACGCCTTGCTTGTGAAACCGTGTTTTAAAGAGGATTATTGGACAATATCTTGTTGTGTGACCTTAGTGAACGCAGGTAAGTAGTGAAATAAATGTGTTTGTGTGGAATTGGAACCCGGATTGCACGTAAAATACTTAGATCCAATCATGTGTGAGTGTGGTCTGTGGGGTTGGTGTAACGGTTTCCATCCATTTGTCCAATTTGTGAATAAGAGAATGTGTTGTGTGTGTTTTTTAGGCTTTCAACATGTCGAACCCAAGCAAATGCAGGAAATGCTGCGTACCAAGCTGTGAAAACTCTCTGGTCCGGAACTGTCCGAAGGAGTTCAGTGTCCATCGTTTGAAGGAAGAATGGAAGACACAATTATTGGAAGAGCATGGTATAGTGACCAAGAAGTCTTCCACTATCTGTAGCCGACATTTTGAACCGGAGATGTTTACAATTAAATCGGGGCCTAGGCAGCTGGCGTGGAATGCTAAGCCGTGTCTCTTACTGCCTCCTCTTCCTCCTCCTTCTATTAATGTGGACGCAGATAATGTGGATGTGGACAATAATGGGGGTAAGTTTGTTTTAAATTTTTGTCTAGGGATATGGGAACGTTTGATATGTGGGGAACCTTTGGATTTTTACCCAAAACATGGCGTCCCCCTCAAACCGTTTATTACATTATTATAAAGCAAAAATTCGGATAAAGACATGCAGATCCCTATACAAATTAACCCTCTTTTTCCCTTATATTAATAATATTTACCCTAAAATCTTAAATTGGCCATTGGGAACCCTAGGCTTTTAAAAGGGGCTCAATGTTTGCATTTAAAGTTAAATCCATAAAGGTAAATTAATATACAAATACAAGAATACACTTGTAGGAACGAATAACATTCGCTTCGCTAACGCATCCTAATACTAGATTTAGGGAAAGTGATGCGAATACAATAAATTTGTACATAAAGCCTCTCCTTTCCAAACTGTTAACCTCGCCCACCCATGGTGGCCCCTGTTAGCGCAGAAGAGGCACTGGCAACTTAGTTATCTTGAATACAGCTCTGTGTGTTCTGTCTTGCGATTTGGCTGTCAGTCTGACATAAATACACAACTACATACAACCCTAACAACCCTCTTTTTTTGTTTTTTGTTTGGTTCTCCAAGTAAAACATTAAAAATCGGAAGCTTTTTCTTATCAGATTATTTAGCTTGTTGTCGGTGACAGTGAATTAAATTAGTTTATTAAGTTTATTACCCTTTATCTGTTTGTTTTAGTTAGTGATTTCAAGATGTCGTCTTCCATTTACAAGGACTTACCAGAAGTAAGTACGGAATCTATCTTCTTTCTAAATGTATATGGGATATACTGGAAAGTCGTTCTTCCCATCGGCATATTTCCCATGTAAAACCATTGAAAAGAAAACTGCCCAATATGAACTCTGTGACCTTGTTTGAGATAAGTTGCTGGAGCATTTTGTGTTTTTCTAAAACGTGGTTCATCTTACATAGCCGAAGAAAAAGTTTGTCTTGGAAGATTATTTGTAGCTTATTTCATTGTTTAATTTTTTTGAAGGAACATCCAAGAAAACTTATTCCTGCCCTGTGTCAACAATTTTACCATTTGGGATGGGTGACTGGAACTGGTGGCGGTATATCAATGAAACTTAAGTACGTTGTGGTTATTGTGATGAGAATAAGTAAACCTTATAGTCCATATTTTTTATTTTTCTAGTGACGAAATCTACATAGCCCCATCGGGTGTACAAAAGGAACGCATCTTGCCGGAAGATTTATTTGTACAAAACATTGAGGGACAGGATCTTCAATTACCACCCGATTACAAGCAGTAAGTGGGATAATTATTTTAATTTAAAACATTTTTAACAATCTCTCTCCTTCTAGTTTATCCAAAAGCCAATGTACACCGCTATTTATGTTGGCTTATCGCCATCGCAATGCCGGAGCAGTTATACACACACATTCACAACATGCGGTAATGGCTACATTGCTGTGGCCAGGTGAAGTTTTCACTTGTACCCATTTGGAAATGATCAAGGGAGTTTATGATGACGATATGAAACGCTATTTGCGCTATGATGAAAAATTGGTTGTGCCCATAATCGAAAACACTCCATTTGAAAGGGATTTGGCCGATTCTATGTATGCGGCAATGATGAAATATCCTGGCTGCTCAGCAGTGCTGGTACGTCGCCATGGTGTTTATGTTTGGGGTCAAACATGGGAGAAGGCAAAAACTATGTGAGTACAAATTAAGTCATATAGTCTAACCACTTATATAACAGAATTTTTGTGCCTCAATTTGTAGGGCTGAATGCTACGATTACTTGTTCTCCTTGGCTGTGGAAATGAAGAAATCCGGTTTGAATCCTGAAGAAACCCCCAAGGCATAAATTCAAAAACACAAATGTTATCTTTTTTTACTTAAAAATACAAAATACTTGTATTGTTGTTAAAGAAAAATGATGTAAAAAAACAAAATCATTTAAAACATGAAAATTCTAAAATTATGTTTAACATAAAAATAACCTTTTGCCTTTCACTAATGACTTAGAGATTTATAAATAAGCTCCTTGGCAAACCATGGGCATAATCCAGGAGTCTGTCTGTTCGTTTGTACAACCTTTTAGCAAAGCAAACAAATGGCAACGCATAAAATCTCTTAAATCTCTTAATTACAACAATATATGTATGTATATAGGAAAACATGTAGCTATACCTAATGTCAAAAAAGAACATTTGCACCGCAGGCTTTTCATCTTTGGCGACGCATTCTACGTTCCAATTTGCGTTGTTTCTTTTCATTAACTTCCGGCTCTTGGGCTTCGTTCTTTTGGGCCAACCAGGGCTTAATAACACTACCCCACAACATATACAATGCCCGGAGGGGAGCCAAGAGCAGAAGGAACCAGAAATAATTGGATATCATGGAGAGCAACATTGTTCCCGATGTGAGTATAATCAAGTCCTTGACATTTCTGCAATGACAAAAACAAAAAATGAATACAAAAATAAAGCCAATCATTGAATTTTCCTCATACTCAGCTATGCCACCCTCCATGTTCAAATCGTTACCCGAATCCAATAAAGCTCCGGTCTCCGAATATTTAGCCTTGGACATGAATGCCATGAATTGATATGCTGCACCCAAGGTCAACAACGACAAAATGCTCATAATCTACAAGTGGAAATCATCAATGAAAATTTGCATACCCAGCCTTGGCATTAACGCCCCACATACCACGGTCACTTTTCCAATTTCAAAGAATATACAATTCACCAGGATTGAGGCTGCAGCACTGCCCAATGCCATATTCCTGTAGAAAACCAAGGTGGACTTGTTCTCTTCGACAATTTGTTTGGCTCCTTTTGTGCCTTGTTTACCCTTTTGTTGGGGCTAGAATGTACACATTTTTTTAGTTAAAATATTACTTTTAAATAAGACAATTAATTCTTACCGCCATTTTTTGTAAATTTATAAAAAAATTGTTAAAAATGAATTTTCCAATAAGAAAGAAGAGGCCTGACAACTTTCCAACTAATGTCAAGGTACAAGGGATTGTTTACGAATGACTTTTTGACACGCGTCAAAAAACGAAGTGAAATGACATACAAATTCGTCTAGATATCGATTATATGATTGGTATCGATATTTCTCAAATGGAAGGGACAAATAATACCACGTTCTTATGTTGCATTGAGACAATAAAACACGCAACAAAAGTATGGGAGATCAATATTTTATTATTAAATCATATTCGATAAAAACTTAAAATCCATTTTACTACATGACTAGTCAATTTCATTCATACAGTAGTTGGCCTAATATTATATACGCAAGACCTGTTTCAAAAAATTTCAAATATATTCATGGCACATATAGAAAGTATTGCTCTGTTCCAGAACTGCAAGAATGTAATACTTTTTACTACGATAACCGATTTTTCCTTTCCTGAAATCGAAAAAATGCAAAACTAGTAAATTCTTGTAGACTCTGGAACAGGGCAATGTATATTGTAATGTATTATATAGAATATGCCTCTCTGTTCTGTAGTACGATTCTCGATTTTTTGAGTTACCGACAAAAATCGGTAACATTGAAACCCAAAATGTTGAAATAAAAATAATTTGAGGAAGACAACATTTGCTTTGTTCCAGTACCTGCAAGAATCTACTAGTTTTGAAATTTCTTTCTATATCACAAGGAAAAATCGGTTATGGTATTAAAAACTTTTACATTCTTGCAGTGCTGGAACAGGCCAATTGGTATCTATCGGTAGGTGTTAGAGACTACTTTGATTTGATTTCTAACTTACCGATAAATTTTTTGTCGGTAACTCAAAAAATGAGTTAAGGTGGGAATACATAAAGCGCATATTTGGCTGGCTTAAATCAGCCTGGAAATCAACTAAGGAGCCTAGCTTATTATGTTATTATTCCACCTACCGGATCTGATAACATGGTGCGTATATGTAAGGCAAATGCCAGGAATGCACAATTTTTTGTCATATTGCGACTATACGAAGACGTGAACCTACATGGACACACGGTTCAGATGTTGTTAAGACCTATGCTTTTCAAAACAAAAAAAAAAAAAAAAAAAATTAATAATTAAAATTTCAAAATGAAAAATTTGTCTAAGTTTTGTGGGAATTAATTTTTATTTATTTTTTTTGGGAATGTTTTTTTATTTTTTTTATAAAAAATAGATTAAATATGTGTCCAATATAAATAATAGATGAAAAAACTCTTTTTCCTAAAACAAAAACATCAATATCATTAGTTACAATAACATTAAGCAGGTGTTAATTTAGCAGTTGGTTCAATCATTGCAATCAAACCGGCCAATGAAGATATCGCACCGAGGACACCAATTGTACGTGGTGTCAGTTTGGTATAACCCAATGCTGTCAGTGGTATAAAGAAGTCGCATACGTTCTTAACAGTATCCACAAATACGTCCTTATGGCCCAAAACCATGGCATAAGATTGCAAAGCAAGGCGGCTAAAATCTTTGCTTGATTTTATGTTGCATGGAATACTGCGTGAAATACCACCGCGTATCGAGGCCTTATGTAAGTCCACCAAACGTATGATTTCATAAAAGTCTCTGCATAAATTCATAATGATCGAGAGCAGCCAATACTTGTTGGCATATTTGCCCCATTTCTTGGCATCGATACTCTTAAAGAGACCGGTGCGGGCCAGCCAAAGGAAATGATCGGCAAACAGAAACAGAGCCTGTGATAATTTACCAGCTGTCAGGGTGACACGTATGGCCAAGTCGGGATAATGTATTGTTCTTAAACTGGCATAGAAGACATCCAGACATTTGCCAAAACGCAGCACTAAAAACAAAAAGGAGGCATGACTTTTCTTCTCCTTCCCATTTCTGTGTAATCTCTACTTACATTTACGGAATGTGCTTAGTATATATTCCAGTGATTTGAAATCTTCCACCATGGCCGGACTTTTGTCGGCCGCTTCCAGAGAATCCCATAGGGCACGAGATGCATATTGTATCAAACTAATAAATGATCAAACATAACATAAATAATTTTCTTATCATCGTTCATCGGTAGCCACAAAACTATAATTACCGTGCTATTTTATCTCTACCAGCTGCCTGATTATTTAGTTGCACCCACTTGTCCATGTTCATGGCTGACGATTTGGTGTTGTGCAAGTTGTCTAACAAATCCAAAGACAATCTATCGACTAATCGCTACTGTTATAGCCAGGTTGTAGTTCTACGATGCTAATACCTAATACGTAGGGTTTATCTAGCACTCTCTAAATAAAACCCCTTTCCCCCCTTAATGGTACAAGGTTCAAATGATAAACAAACAGATTAGGGATACGTAGATCGAATTTTGTCTTATAGGGTTCTTGTGTTCAAACGACTAATGTCATGTTCTCACGGAACTGAAAACATATTTGTCTGTTGTTAAACAAACTTTTTCAAATATATTACTTGAATTTCAGCACTCCTTGTCCACAAACAAGAAATTTAATGACAAAGAGGACTCCTCACCTCCTTCACATAAAATCAAATATTTTAATGAAAGTTTCATTAAAAATTATTTTGTAAAACTACAATTAATCTGGCTAAGTCGTCGGCTGGCATCTTCGTAGAGGAACAAAGGAGTTTTAGGTTGACTTTTCCGAAGAAGTCAGCCGATGACTTAAGCCAATCAAAAAAGCGTTTTATGTATTCTCACCTTTATCGCCATTATACATAGGGGTTCTCTAGCACTCTCTAAATAAAAACCCCAAAACCCCTTCTAGCCCCCTTCAAGGTACAAGGTTCAAATGATAAACAAACACATTGGGGATACGTAGATCGAATTTTGTCTTATAGGGTTCTTGTGTTCAAACGACTAATGTCATGTTCTCACGGAACTGAAAACATATTTGTCTGTAGTTAAACAAACTTTTACAAATATACTACTTGAAAGGAAAAAATAGTTTTTTCATATATTATTTATATTTATATATATATTTAACGGATTTTATTGTGTTTGAGAATTGCCAAATTTGTTCCAAATGGTGGAGGGTATTAAACATCGTCGATGAAATGGACTTTTTCAACAAAGAGTTTTAAGTTACGTTTTCATATTACCTTGGCTCGTCAATTGTCACGTTAAAGGGTTTCAATTTAAATCATGGCGAATTCATGAAACTCAGTTTATTTTCAAAATCGAGCTAAATGCCAATCAATTTCTCTGGATTGTTGTTCTATAAAATAACGAAATAATTTTATTTATTTATATTTTTTTATTTCTTTATTCAGTATACATGAAGTCTGTAGTTCATTGGCTTTTATTTGATGTATCAAGTCCACTAAATTTCAATCATGGCAGAAGAATGCAGGTACATGCATCAACGCTTGGGAACATTAATATGCCAAACATTTTTAAATATTTTTTCAAGTATAAGTAGAATATTCTTATACGACGTCATTTGGAGGTTATTATAATTCGCGTTTTTCAACAATTTTTATAAATTTAAATAATTTTTCATTCAACATTTTCAATTTCAAAATTGGTTTGACACTTCATTGTCCTAGCAGCTCTGTCGACGCGTCTACCCATATTCTTCTACCATGATTTCAATTGACAATCTTATTGACAGTTTAAAGCGACCTAATTTCGTATGTGTAAACATGCCTTTAAAACCACCTGAGTATGAACTGTTATCACACATTGTACATTGATTACTCAGAACAGCGAAGAAGAAGAACTGTTTGTTATCATTAGCCAGTACCTAATATTTCTTTCTCTTGAGGATTTATAAACAGCTGTTTATGTTTAGATGGGGCCGACTTTTTAAAACCCTGCAAGGGATTCAGGTTTTCGATCGGCATAAGTTGAGTTTAGGGGCTGTGCTCGGATTGACTTGAAATTTATACTACAGGTAGGTATTTTTAAACTGATTACGGCAATATAAATTTTTTGTGGGGGAAATAACCGGTTACCCGGTTATTGGACCCGAAAGTTCAGATACAATGTTCGGTTTTTATCCGGTTCCACTGAACCGATACAAACAAAATGGGTATCATTGGAAAGCTTATGAAAATACCTATCCAACAAGTGGTCACATGAACCGGTTACAAGAACCGGTTCCAGAGTAATGCAAGAAAATTGATATTTTTTACCAGTACTTTTTGAAAAACCCATAAAAACTCGAAAATTGACCCATTATAGGGTCTTAAAATCTATACACAATATTATAGCTAACACTATTGCCTTTCCAAAATGGTGTCATATGTGTTGATATCTTTTGTAATTCCGAAGATATTGGCTTTTAAAGTTGTTACTTATGAAAGTAGTATGAGTGAAGCCAAGTTTTATGTCGGGTTTAACGTTCTTGTTAATCTGCTTTGTTTTTAATTTGGTGTTGTTAGAATATTATGGATCGCGTAGTCGGTGTTGGACATATCCCAGAGGAGAAAATCTTAAGCCCCGGCCGAAGGCCGGCTACTTACAAAAATTACAATTTTTAGAAAAACTATGGATCGCGTAGCCGGTGTTGGACATACCCCAGAGGAGAAAATCTTAAGCCCCGGCCGAAGGCCGGCTACTTTCGAAAACTACAGTTTTTAGGAAACTATTGATCGCGTAGCCGGTGTTGGACATACCCCAGAGGAGAAAATCTTAAGCCCCGGCCGAAGGCCGGCTACTTACAAAAATTACAATTTTTAGAAAAATTAGCGATCGCGTAGCCGGTGTTGGACATACCCCAGAGGAGAAAATCTCAAGCCCCGGCCGAAGGCCGGCTACCTACGAAGATTACGATGTTTAGAAAAACTAGCGATCGCGTAGCCGGTGTAGGACATACCCCAGAGGAGAAAATCTCAAGCCCCGGCCGAAGGCCGGCTACCTACAAAGATTACGATGTTAAGAAAAACTAGCGATCGCGTAGCCGGTGTTGGACATACCCCAGAGAAGAAAATCTCAAACCCCGGCCGAAGGCCGGCTGTTTAAAAATGCTATAGAGGTTAGATACATTTGACTGGAGAAAAAATTGCAAATTAATGACTTCTATCACTAATATCTTCGGAACTACAAAAGATATCAACATGTATGATACCATTTTGGAAAGGCAATATTGTTGGCTATAATACGGTATGTAGATTTTAATACCTTATAATGGGTCCATTTTTGAGTTTTTATGGGTTTTTCAAAAAGTACTGGTAAAAAATATCAATTTTCTTGCATTACTCTGGAACCGGTTCTTGTAACCGGTTCATGTGACCACTTGTTGGATAGGTATTTTCATAAGCTTTCCAATGATACCCATTTTGTTTGTATCGGTTCAGTGGAACCGGATAAAAACCGAACATTGTATCTGAACTTTCGGGTCCAATAACCGGGTAACCGGTTATTTCCCCCACAAAAAATTTATATTGCCGTAATCAGTTTAAAAATACCTACCTGTGGTAAAAATTTCAAAATGATCAGAGCACAGCCCCTAAACTCAACTTGCTCCTTTCGATCTGGTGAACTCTGTGAACTCCAGCTAATTTCTGGCTTTCGACCTGCTAAGCCCTGAGTACCTTCTTTTTCGATCAGTTGGTCCCTTTAAATTTCTAGGATTTGTGGGATTTCTGGAGCTTAACGCCATGTATACACCTCTGGGTGGTGGAAACCCCTACAACGATCCCCACAATCGTTCCTGTGGCGGTCGCTTCTGGTGTGTTAAAGATATTTGTGGCATTTTCTGTGCCGTCTTGACATGGCTGCTGATTTTGTTCGCCGAATTTGTGGTGATGCGTGTTATCCTTCTGCCCAGTCCACATCCAGTTTTCAGTACAGTGAATACAATCATATTTCAGGCTTTGGCATTCCTGGCATTTGCCTCGCATATACGCACCATGTTATCAGATCCGGTAGGTGGAATAATAACATAATCTTGCTAGCCACTACAGGCAATTGCTAATTTAATTATTTCTTTTTCTGGATGCTTTGAAAAGGGTGCAGTTCCCAGGGGAAATGCCACCAAAGAAATGATTGAACAAATGGGCTATCGTGAGGGCCAAATGATATTCAAGTGTCCCAAATGTTGCAGCATTAAACCAGATCGTGCCCATCACTGTTCCGTTTGCCAGCGGTGTATACGGAAAATGGATCATCATTGTCCATGGGTGAACAATTGTGTGGGAGAGAATAATCAAAAATATTTTGTATTATTTACGGTAAGATTTTTTAAAGAATATAAACCCCCCATTCATTGACATTTTCAAAGGAGGGAGTTGAGGAAGAATTTGAATGTGACATCATCTTGTGTGTAAACAAATGTAGAACACCAACGTTTAGTAAACATCCCTTAGAAGACACTAAAGAAATAAATGACCAGAAAGAAATTTAACTAGCGTAGAAATGACCAACGACAACAAAATGTATTCAGTCATGTTAATCAATGTTAAAGATAAGAAAACGATTTTTGTTGTAATGACTCAAGAGACAACTTTTTTGCTTGCTAAATATCATAATGAGTTAAATCAACAGGTCAAATTTCATTCCAAAAGAAAAAAATTGTCTTTGGAATGTATTTTACCATAGAGCATTTATAGATGGGACTTTAATTACTATAGTTAAATATAGCAACATTTAAGAACAAAAAATTGTCTTTAGAGGACGGAAGTTTATACAATTGATAATAGAACAAAAATTATTTTTCGTAGGGAACAAGAAGGTCTTGTAAGGGGGTATCAAAAAATTCTTATATTGTTTTCTTAAATAGAGCATCAAAAAGTATTCTCATAGAAGACAAAAACAAGGAATTGATATGCAAGATCACTAGACCATCTTTTAGTAGACCAAAGCTTCGGCTCATAAAAGACCAATATGTTCATGCGAGACGCAAAGACACCAAAGGTCTACAGATACAAAATCAGTGAATCAAAGTTGACAAAATTTTACTCAAATGTATATTGTGTTTGCAGGACCTTTGGTATTGAAAATGGACCATGTAGGTCCTCGTTTTGGTATAGCCCCCACGATTTTACCGACATTATTCACCGGAATCGTTTCAAATTTCGTATTTGAAGTTCATAATGGATCCTACAGCCTATGACAGAAAATTGTCAGTGCAGGTCCACGTCTTCGTATAGCCCCCATATAACGGTACCTCCTGATATTTGGTATTTTAATGAGTTTAGCGACATTATTCACCGGAATCGTTTCAAATTTCGTATTTGAAGCTCGTAATGGATACCACAGCCTATGTCACGAGACTGTCTGTGCAGGTCCACGCCTTCGTATAGCCCCCATATAACGGTACCTCCCGATATTCAGTATTTTGATGATTTTAGCGACATTATTCATCGGAATTGTTTAAAATTTGGTATTTGAGGTTTGTAATGGATACTAAAGCCTATGAAAGAAAATTCGTATAGCCCCCATATAACGGCACCTCCTGATATCCGGTATTTTGATGATTTTGTCGATATTATTCACCGGAATCGCTTCAAATTTCGTATTTAAAGTTCGTAATGGTTACTACAGCCTAAGACAGAAAATTGTCTGTGCAGGTCCACGACTTCGTATAGCCTCCATATAACGGCACCTCCCGATATTCGGTATTTTGATGATTTTGTCGATATTATTCACCGGAATCGCTTCAAATTTCGTATTTGTAGTTCGTAATGGTTACTACAGCCTAAGACAGAAAATTGTCTGTGCAGGTCCACGACTTCGTATAGCCTCCATATAACGGTACCCTCCGATATTTGCTATTTTAAAGATTTTATTTTCGCCTTTTTTATTGTAATGGCTTATGACAATAGTTGCCTACGCAGGTCCATGTCGTCGTATAGACCCTAATATAACGGTTAAATTAGGTATTTTTAAGATTTTAACAGAATTTTTACCGAATTTTATTTTTTTTTGAAAGTTGACAAATTCATTCCAAATGTTAGAGGGTATTCAAAATTCAGCCCGGGCGAACTTACAGCTTTTTATATTCGTTTTTGTTAAGTTATGTTCCTTTATTTTGAAGACATGAAAATTTTTTTTATAGAATTGGCTGACCGATTTCTCTAGGGTACTATAGCTTTTTATTCAATGCTCTTAAATAAAATTGTTCTAATAATTCTATAATTTTAGTTTTACATCGCATCGATATCGGTTCATGCAATATTTCTGGTATTAACATCCTTTGCTGAATGTGTACGCAACGAATGGCGCCAATGTTCGCCATATTCACCGCCAGCCACAATATTCCTATTACTTTTCCTAACATTTGAGGCGTTGATGTTTGCCATCTTTACAATTATTATGTTGGCAACACAGCTAACGGCAATACTCAATGATCAGACGGTAAGTCAAGCTAGTCTTTTTATCTTTAAGATCCAATACCAATAACTTTTTTCGATTTTAGGGCATTGAGCAACTGAAAAAAGAGGAAGCCCGTTGGGCCAAAAAATCACGACTAAAAAGTATTCAATCTGTATTTGGCCGCTTTTCTTTGGCATGGTTTTCACCGTTCACCAAACCATCGGGAAGACCACGATTTAATTCACACTTTTATTCGGTCTAAAAGTGCCTTGGAACAAACGTGCACAGCCAGCCGGAGGATCAACTAACATTCGTAATGATAAATAAAAAAAAGAAACCCAAAACAAAAATACCAGAAATTAAAAGACTAGTTATATTTTGTATTGATAACATCGTAGAGTTTAACATTTATTCTTAACGCAGAGGGGAGATAGTATTTTAATATATTGTATATTTTCCACACCAGGATACGCTTAATGTAATTTTGATGGATATGATATGAAAAAATAAAATGACCACGATAAACAATAGCTAATCAGAAAAAACAAAGACGGAGGACAAAAGAGTTATACTTAATAGTATATTTAATAATAATTGTATATTGTCTTGTGTGTATATTTTTAGTTACATATTTCTTCTTTATTCCTTACAAGAAACTTAAGTTAATAATTAATACATATATGGAGATTGTTTACAAATAAAAATACTTGAAACAATGGAACTCGCAATCCTCGGATCTTCGATATTAATTTATGATCGCATTGCTTTTGTTAACAACATCATAGAAAATGTGTTTATCAATTTCTCAAATAACCTTAGAACATAATTACAGGGTGAGATGAAAAAACTGCAACCAACTTCAGACTGCTGCCATTTCTAAGCCACTCGCCCGAGAACTGTTAAAATTATTCCAGTGACAGCTCATTACATTGTTCGAAACCCTCGTCGCAGTGGCCGAAAAATGGCTCGTGGGCTGATCATATCGCAATATTCCATTCGGCAAATATTGAAAAATGAGCTCGGGATAAAGCCATTGAAATTTCAAAAAGTGCAAGAACTTGCACCGCAACAGAAAGAAAATAGACTCAAAAGAGCTAAAGAGTTGCTTCGCTTGGCCGAAAGTGGTGAACATTCGAATTTGATTTTCTTCGATAAGAAAACATTTGTTGTCCAGCAGTTTGTAAACAAACAAAATGATCGTGTTTACTTGCCAAAAAGGTCAGCTGAAAATGTGCACTTTCGGTTGGCCACCAGAACTCAAACTCGAGAAGGCCATGGTGATTGTGTGTGCCGCCGTAACAGCCAATGGTCGCTCTCCGCTCGACCGTGGCATCAGAATGAATGCCGAATATTATCGCGATAATATTCTGGAGGGTGTATTATAGCCTTGGACATGCAAACATTTTGGCCGCAGACCTTGGACATTCCAACAGGACTTAGAACCATCGTACTTAGCACGCGCCACCCAAGAATGGTTACAAAATGAGGTTCCTCGCTTCATTTCCAGCGCACAATGGCCACGAAAACGTCCGGATACCAATCGGTTGGACTATTGTGTCTGGAGTATTTTGGAAAGCAAGGTTGGCACTAAAAAACACCAAAGTGTCGATCACCTCCAGCAAGCGCTTCGCCGGGAATGGTCCAAAATACCGCAGAGGCACATTCGCGCAGCGTGTGACGGTTTTATTCGCCATTTGTAGGCCATAATTCGTGCCAAATCTGACCAATTCAAACAAATCAAAACTTATTCTAAAAGTTGACGCTGTTTCCGACATCTTTTTTTGCTTTCATTCAATAAAATTAAAAAAAATATGTAAAAAATATTAAAATCAAATCATCAGTTTTTTATCTCACCCTGTATAGATATTTTATGGCACAATTTATCTTGTGTAGCTATATATTATTTTCATTTCAATTCAAATCAATGAATGCAATTTGTGCGTGTAGTGCCTCTCTATCTCTCCCATTCTTAAACATTCATTGCCGGCGAAAAAAAACTGCCGTCAACAAACAATCTATCTGATAGTTCATAAATCCCGGAAATAACCAAATATCGTACAAAAACATACCCACTCAAGTAGCACCGTGCTATGTTGGGCCTGTCTCTCTGCCAGCGGGCATACAAGGCACACGCACTGCTGTCTGCCTATCTGCCCACCGAAGAAAAAAAAAAACATCGAAATGGGGTAGATAAATGCAAGAGGGCGCAGATAATTATGTACGTGTGTCTATTTTTTTAAATGCATCGTCTGACAACCAACGACGGCAACAAATGCGGCTGTTTATAACAATTTTTCGAATATTTTTAAGACAGCCAAAAAACGCACTCTTCTCAGCGCGCGCACACACACACTTGCTGTTGATCAGCATCAGGAGTGACGAAGACGACGGTGGTGTCGTCGTCGATATATTCACTGTTTTTTTCTTTTCTTTTCAAAACGTCAAGTGAACCTAACGCGAACGGATTCTATTTTAGATTCCTAGAGAAAATAATAATAATGACAACAACAACAGCAACCACATCATTGTTGTTTAGAAGAACATGGCACAGTGTTGAGAGAAAATTTAAATTAAATTTATTTAAAATTTAAAATAAATGGCAAAACCACTTTTCTAAATGGCAACCATTTGGGGGTCCATCGAATGTTAAGGGTGGATTTTTTCTGAATATATTTAAAGGGCCAACGGGCCAATAGGAGTGAATAAAAATATACATAGGGAAATTAGGGCTATAAAATGGAAATCAGGCCTGTAAAAATACATTTACCCACGATTTTGTTTTTTTTGGCGTATTTTTTAGGCACCGCCGTTAAGGATAGACCTTTTTTGGAGTGGTTTCTTAGGGTTATTCTTTTAAGGTTGAATTTAAAGAGAATTTTCTTAGGGATCAAAGGTATTTACGGATGGATTTAAGAGGAATATGTTCTAAAATACCAGCAAGGTTTTAATAGTGGATGGTTAAGGAATATGCTCTTAAGGACCAAAGCGATTTTTTTTAAATATTGTGTAAATTTTGACAGGTTTATAAGTGAGGATTTGTTGAGAATACTAACTCAGGGAATGACAGAGCTAAAATTCGGATCTTTAAGGAGTTTTTTTTAGGGATCAATAGAGATTTAAATGTGAAATTTGAAGAGCTTTTTTCTCGGGGACCAATGTAGATATGAATGGGATTTTTTAAAAATATGTTTCTTCAGAGACCAGATCAGATGTGGAAGATTTATGAATATTTTCTTAGGAACTAACAGAGCCATAAACTTGGAATTTATTAAGGTGGAATTTTAAGGACACTTTTGTGTAGGGATCGAAGTTATTTAAGGATGACTTTATTATGAATATATTCCAAAATACCAACAGGGTTTTAATCGTAATATTTCCTTAAGGACCGATGCGATTTTTAAAAAATGTTTTGTAAACTTTTAACGGGTTTTAAGCGAGGATTTTTTAAGAATACCATCTCAGGAGCTAACGGAGCTATTAATGCGGATTTTTAAAGAATTTATTTCTAGGGACAAATAAAGCTGTAAATGTGAATTTTTAAGAGATTTTTCTCGGACCAATAGAGCTCCAAATGGAATTTAAGATGAGGAAGATTTAAGAATATTTTCTCTGGGACTAACAGATCTAAAGACTTGGAATTTATTAGGGCTTTTTTGAGGTTGAATTTTAAGAAAATTTTCTTAGGGATCAATGATAATTAAGGATGTATTTTTAAGAATATATTCTAAAATACCAACAGGGTGGATTGTTACGGAATATTTTCTAAATTTATTCGCTAAATTTATTCGCCTTTTTTAATATTTTGTAAATTTTTGAGAGGTTTATAAGCGAGGATTTTTTTAAGAATACTATCTCAAGGACTAATAGAGCTAAAAATGCGGATTTTTTAAGAATTTCTTTCTAGGGACAAATAATAATATAATAAGCTATAAATGTGAATTTTTAAGAGATTTTTTCTCGGAGACCCAATTACAGGGTGAAATGAAAAAACTGCAACCAACAATTTTAAATTATTCCAGTGACAGCTCATTATATTGTTTACAAGCGTTCAAAAGCATTTTGGTGAAAATTTTCCAGAAAAAAAGTTATTGGTAATGGAATTCAAGCGTGGTAGTGCGATTAGAGAACTACAACATTTAAATGTGAATAACTCTTTTGTGTCTCGTACCATCACTCGTTATCGTGATACTGGTAGCGTAGCTCGACGTCAAGAAAGTGGACGGAAGAAAACAGCAACATCAGCAGAAATGGTTCGAAAAATAAAGAAACGACTTGATCGAAACTCGCGTCGCAGTCACCGAAAAATGGTTCTTGAGCTGAACATATCGCAATATTCTATTCGGCAAATATTGAAAAATGAATGAATAAATTCCAAAAAGTGCAAGAACTTACAACGCAATAGAAAGAACATAGACTCAAAAGAGCGAAAGAGTTGCTTCGATTGGTCGAAAGTGGGGAATTGCCGAATTTGGTTTTCGTTGTCCAGCAGTTTGTAAACAAACAAAATGATCGTGTTTACTTGTCAAAGAGGTCAGCTGAAAATGTGCACCTTTTGTTGGCCACCAGAATTCAAGCGCCGGCAATGGTGAAGATGTGGGCCGCCATAACAGCCGATGGTCGCTCTCCGCTCGTATTAATCGACCTGGCATCAGAATAAATGCTGAATATTATCGCGAAAATATTCTGGAGGGTGTATTAAAGCCTTGGACAACCAAACATTTAGGCCGCAGACCTTGGACAATCCAACAAGACTCAGCACCATCGCACTCAGCACGCGCCACCCAAGAATGGTTACAAAATGAGGTTCCTCGCTTCGTTTTCAGCGCACAATGGCCTCCAAAATCTCCGGATACCAATCCGTTGGACTATTGTGTCTGGAGAATTTTGAAAAGCAAGGTTGGCACTAAAACATACCAAAGTGTCGATCACCGGGAATGGGTCAAAATACCGCAGAGCAACATTCGGGCGGCGTGTGACGGTTTCATTGGCCATTTGAAGGCCATAATTCGGTCCAAAGGTGACCAATTCAAACAAATCTAAACTTATTCTTAAATTTGATGCTACTTCCGATATTTTTGCTTTCACTCAATAAAATTAAAAAAATAAAAATTGTGGCGTTTGATTTTGTTGCAGTTTTTTCATGTCTCCCTGTATTTTATAAAGGGCTAACGGGGATAAAATCACGGATATTTTAATTTTTTTTTTTTTGAAACCAGAAAATTTTTAGTTTTTTTTTTAAATTTGTGGTTTCCAAACACAGTGTCCCACAAAACGCGTACATTCTCATTTCACTGAACTTTCTCGCCGCCAAAAAAAAAAACACAGAAAAAAAAAAAACAGCAGGAACACAAGGAAAAAAAGTGAAACGTACAAAGAAAGCATCGGCCAGAAGAAAGTTTACGGAGGAGGGTGGTGCTGGCTAACAGAGTGGAAAGCAGCAGCAGCGACAGCCAAAATATGCTCGCGTTCTTTTTCACCGGCCCCAAAAATGATAAGCGACTGCTCAGTCTGAGGAAAACTATCGGAGATCCAGGTACCGTTTTGGGCTGGATGAGCGTGTGCGAAAACTGACGACTAGAAAACGAATATTGAAAATTTTGAAAAAAAATAAAAAAAAGTATTGAAATAAATTATACAAAAAAAGAAAATTTTTGGAAAAAAGGAATACGGTAAAAATTTGATTTATTTATATGAAAAAATAACAAAAAAATGAATTATATATGTATTTGAAAAAAAAAAAATTGAAATGAATAATTGGAGAATAATTAATAACCATTAGTGGAAATGTTTCCGTGTGTATGTGTTGTTTTTTTCCTTGACCAACAATGTCTCACTTGTTCATGTGAATCACTAAAAAAAAAGAGTGTGCGTTTAAAAATTAATATTTTTCGAAAAAAAAACACACAAAATAAATTGTCAAAGACCGTATGGAAAAATACAAAACAGCAAAAAAGGGGATATTTTTGAAAAGTGCCTGCCTGCCTGGTGGCTGCTGGTCAGTCGATTTCATAACAAAATAAATACTGGCCAAAACATTGTGAAAACTGCAGTTTTAGCTATTTCATATTTGAATATTCAAAAAATTCAAAAGAATTAAAAATAACAACAAAGAATACTAGAATAAATAACACAACAACAACAAGAACTGCAAGGAAAAACGAAGAAATAAAAAAAATTAAATAAATACAGGAACAAATTGGAAATATTAATATTGGCTAGAATACAACAAGAGAAGATATTGTGCCCCATACCTATCCGCATACATATAAGAATGTATGTATGTATATGACAGCAGTTTGGGCTGCAACGGGGAAAATATATAAATTTTCCGAAACTGAAGAAAATTTAGAAAAAATTATTGCATTTGTGTGAGTGTGTGTACTTAAGACAAATTAGTCAGTCATTCTTCAGTCAATGGCTGGCTGGTCGTTCTACTATAGCCGGCAAAAGGGGCCAGAGACCAATTGTCGTCGTCGTCTTCCCCCAAATAATTAATAAAAGTTTACGTTGTAGCAGCAGCACTTGTGTGATAATGTGCATCTGTGTGTGTGTGTGTGTGTCTTCGTGTGGAGTGCCCTGTTGTATTTTCTTCTAAACTAAATGTGCAGATCTTCTTCTTCTTCATATTCTTAATATTCAAAATCTTCATTATCATCATCATTATGAAGATCAACGTCAGCATCTCCGTCATCTAGATGATGATGATGAGGATCATCATCATTATCACGTTGAACACGCTCATTTATATCTGTTGATATTCGTTGAATCTAAATATAAATACTCAATACATGTTGTATTCAACTATATAAATGGATTTTGACTTTTCATAACAATTATACACCGGGCAACACAGATTTTTTTGGAAAAATAAGCATTGTGAGTTTTAAGTGAAAAAAGTGTTTTTTTTTTTCAACATTAAAAAAGAGTGACGAAAATATAATTAAAACAAGTAAAAAATCAGTGAATACCCTTCATCATTTGTAACGATTTTGGAAATTTTCGATCTATGTATTTTAAGCTCATTTTAGTGGCGCCCAACGTGTGAATTTTGAAGATTTGAGGAATGTGTGAACTTATTGTGTTTTTTTTCGAATGTGTAAATTCAGAGTAATATCTAAAGTAGTCGGTAAAAAAGTCTTGGTTTTAGAAAACAATTTTTGACTCTTGATGTTTACTAGACTTTAAGTCTTTAACTGTTATAGTTATTTAAAAACAAGTAAAAAAGCTGTAAATTCGGCCGGGCCGATCATTAAATACCCTCTACCATTTGGAACGAATTTAGGAATTTTCAAAAAAAAAAAAGATCCGTTAAAAATTCTGTTAAAATCTTAAAAATGTCGATTGTAAATCATCAAAATACCGAATATAAGGAGGAACCGGTAAAATGGGGCCTATACGAAGACGTGGATCTGCATAGACAATTTTCTGTATTAGGCTGTAGTATCCATTTCGAACTTCAAATACCAAATTTGAAACGATTCCGATGAATAATGTCGTTAAAATCATCAAAATACCGAATATCGCGAGGTACCATAATATGGGTGCTATTTCAAGACCTTGACGTACATAGACAATTTTCTGCCTTAGGCTGCAGTATCCATTACGAACTTCAAATACCAAATTTGAAACAATTCAAGTGAATAATGTTGCTAAAATCAACAAAGTACTGAATGGAGGTACTGAGGCCTATACGAAGACCTGGATCTGCATAGACAATTTTCGGTCATAGACTGTAGTTCCCATTACGAACTCTAAATACGAAATTTGAAACAGCTCTGGTGAATAATGTCGCTAATATCATCAAAATACCAAATATCGGGAGGTACCTTTATATTGAGGCTATACCAAAACGTGGACCTACATGGTCCATTTTCAATACCAAAAGTCCTGCAGACATAATATACATTTGAGTAAAATTTTATCAATCTACTTCATTTCGTTCAATTTATTACGATCTAGTCTAGTCTCAAAGTGGCGCCCAATGTGTGAAGTTGATTGCTGAGTCATCTATATTTCAAGTTTCGGTTATAAGTTAACGTAGAAGATGCAAAAAATATGTGACCGCATTATATTTTTACGACTGACACTTGTATGTGTAGTGTCTAAAGTACCATCTAAAGTAGTAGGATAATGGATTATGTTTCTGGACTTTAAGTGACGCCCAAGGGGTGTAAATGTAGAAAACTCTAATTTCAATTTGTCACGACGCTCTAGTCGCAAAGTGGCGCCCAATGTGTGAAGTTGATTGCTGAGTTATCTATATTTCTAGTTTCGGTTATTGGTTAGCATAGCGGGTTTATACACCGCAGCTATTACAAATACATTTTCAATGAACCTTTTTGTTACGATCTGTTTGTGGCGCCCAACGTGGGTATTATAAGAGCTTTAAACTTTACCTGCTATAAGAATTAACCAAAAAGCATATATGATATTGAACACCAATTTTAATCTGACCATCCAGAGTCTCAATGTCAGAACATGCCTAAAGTAACATCGCTGTTTTAAAAACTATAATGCGTTTATGTGGCGCCCAACGTTTAATAATGCAGATCATGCAGACCTCAAAAAAATTATAACATTTTCTCAACAACTAACTTGTGACCCTTTGTGGGAGAGGCATAGGAAGGGGTAGGCCGACATACCACCAGATCTTGTGCAAATAAACAATAAAATAAAAAAATTGAGGAAAATTGGGTGCTTATTTCGAATCTTACGAGGGATACATTTATTCAAAATGTTGACCCTTTTGTAGGGAGTGGTCTGTTCTATACGTTCTTCATACCGGATCTTGTGTTGGTAGAAATGTTAAGATCTTGCGAAATTTGAAGTTAAACGGACTATTTTTTAACATTTTATCAGAGTTAAAATTATCCAATATTTTGACTTAATGGAGTGTGCCGATATTGCCCACCTACACTGATACAAATATTGGAATTTGCAAACTTTGTACAAAAGGATATTCCTTTCTTTTTCTGTGAGATTAAATATTTTCAGTGAAATTTTGACCATTTGTGGACAAGGTTACAAAAGGAGTGAACCGATACGATCCGCCTCCCAACTCAATTAATGTGTAATAATAATATTACGATGAACCACGATTGGACCAAATCGGATACTTTCTTTGAGAGCTATAGCAAGTCGACGGACGGAGACCTCTAGATCGACCCCAAATACCCGGAAACGGATTTGTTCGAAATTTGCTAGGGTGTAAACCTTTATTTTAATGAAAAAAAAATACAAAAATTTTGTTGACAATTTTTTTTTTTGGATGGGAAAATATATATTTAAAAATCCCCATATTTGGAATATAAAAAAACTTTGAAAAATCTAGGTAAAAAGTTTGTGAAAAAAAAGATTTTAAAAAAATTTGAAAAAATCCAAGTTAATAAGTTTTTGATTCTTTTTCAAAAAATCCAAAATGTATGAATTTTGAAAAATCAACGTCTATAGACCGTTAAAAAATTAGAAAAAATTCATTTTCCTTCTGGTTTAAAAAATTGTCAAAAAATATATAAAAAAATATTATGACGTCAAAAACATTTTTTTTAAATAGTTTCTTGGATTTTTTTAAAAAACCTAAAAGAGATAAAAAATACGTCTATAAGTCGTTGCTAAAAAATAAAAAACTCTACGTGGTTGGAAAAAAATTAAAAAAATCACATTTATGTATATGTCAAAAACAGAACAAATATTTTGAAATTTCATTAAAAAAAAATTCAAATTGAAAAAAAATTAAAAAAAAAATCCAAATTTATAGTTCGTTGAAATAATATTTTTAAAAAAATCATAATTTGTAAAACGTTAAAAAAATCTCAGGTTTATATATCCCTTGGTTCCATTTTTTTTTTGATAAAAAAGGAAACTATTTCTCCACACAACGCCCTTCTGCCTCTTTTAAGTTTTTTTTTTTTTCGAAACATTTCCACCAAACTCTGTTGCCCTGTCTACAATTTATCTATTTTGCGTTCTCTTCAACTTTCAATATTTATTTCAAAACATTTCTGCACGAGAAACAAAGCCAAAAATAACAAAAAAATAATATTTAAATTTCAAAACTACATTATTGTGAGTGAATCTTAAACGGGAATATATATTTTTTTGTGAAAATTATAGCAAAAACATGTTTTGCTGTTTCTAATTAAAATCTATTCTTCATGTCGAAATTGTGCTAAAGAAGAAAACGAAACAATTTTCATTTGAAAACAAAAGCAAAAGGAAAATCTAACGAAACTAAAAGTTTATTAACAAAATCATAATAATAATAGAAATAAATAAAACGAAAAAAAGAAATAAATAAAAGAATTCAAACACATTTGTGTGCGTGTGTGTGTACGTAGTAGTGAAACCGTCTCAAGTATTAAAAGTTCGTCCCTTGTCTGAAGTCCGTTCATGTTATACGTCTGTCCATGGAGAACTCAAATTTAAATCCTTTAATATCACCCTCCAACAACAACGCTACGGCGACGGCGACCATAACCAACAACACCACCACTGCCATCATCACCGATACCAATTTCAATAGCAATCACACCACTACATCCTCGTCGAGAACCATCAGGACCACCAGCAATGGCATTGAAACAACCTCCACAATATTCAATAGCCATCATCAACATCAGGTGGAAGAAGAGACGCTAACAAAGATCACCTCCGTTGGTGAGTCCTCCATCACCACCACCACCACCTCCAATGGCAATGCAGCAGCATCAGGTTTGTTGTTTAATTTTTAGTTTTCACAAAATTTACCTGACAATTTTTGTTTTGTGTGTTTCGTTGTTGCTATAGTTATGTAATTTATTTTGAAAATTGTTTTCTGAAATTTGGAAAATTTAAAATTGAAATGCCTGAACATTGTAATTCGAAAAATACCCCATGAGAGTAATATATCCTAGATTAGTGTCTATTTCTCCTGCCATAAATATAAAAAAACTGCAGAATAATTCTAAAAATTAAATTAAAAACAAAAAACGACCCATCAAAAATTTAAAAGAAAAATTCTGAAGGAGATACCAGGAGCGGTAGTTTAATATAATCCATCTTCACACCAGATCTTGCATTGGTAAAAATATTGAGATGTTCTAAATTTAAAGAGGATCGATTTTGTAGGAGATATAATTATATAAATTTTTGACCCGTTATGGAGGAGTTACAAGAAGGGATTTTTCGATATTTTCTGTCTTTAGACCCAATCTTGTGTTGGTAGAAATTTTGGGATGTGCGAACTTTGACAAAACAATCGAAGTCCTATTTTACATTTTATAAGAGTTATAATTATTCAAAATTATTAATTTTCGCAATTAACCTTGCACGGATGAAATTATTAGGATTTGCAAAGCTAGCAGAAAATTGAAAGATCCTTTCTTGTTCTATAGGGTAAATTATTTTCGGTGAAAATTTACCTTTTGTAAGAGGAGATTTTAAATCGATCTAAGTTTTAAGAAAATATTTTGATGTACTAAGTTTGGACCAAGTCGTTTGCTCCCTTCGAGAGTTATCTTGTGCACACCAGCCAGTCAGCCAGAGTGATGGACGAACACCCCTAGATCGACTCGAAATGTTCTGAAACAGATTTGGTCTAAAGAGACCTTGGGTTTAAATCCGTTATTTTGGTGTGGCAAGTTTTGGCCGTTTCAAATGTTATATACCCTCTCTAGCCATATGGATGAGGGTATAAAAAATCCAAAATTAGAATACATATTTCCCAAAAAATCCACAATTAGTGAGCAGCAGGAAAAATATTTTTGAAAACCCTCCACCAGTTGTAATGAATTAGGAAATTTTCAAAATAAAAAAATCCGTTAAAAATTCGGTTAAAATCTTAAAAATACAGAATGTAGCCGTTACATTCGGGTCTATACGAAGACGTTGACCTGCATGGGCAACTTTTATCATATGCCCTTACAGTATTAAAATACGAAACTTGAAAAAAAATCCGGTGAATAATGTAGCTAAAATATCGAATATAGAGAGGTACCGTTACATCGAGATTATACGAAGACCTGCAACAGGCTGTAGTACCTATTAGGAACTTCAAATACTAAATTTCAAACAATTTCGTTGAATATTGTAACTAAATTCTTTAAAATAAGGAATATAAGGAGGTTCTTATATATGGGGCCTATGCGAAGACCTGGACCTGCATAGACAATTTTCTGGCATATATTGTAGTAGGTACCATTATATGGAGGCTAAACGAAGACATGGGTTTGCATACACAATTTTTTGTTATAGCCTGTAATAGCCATTACGAAGTCTAAATACTAAATTTGAAACAAGTACAAGTAAATAATGTCCCTACGATATCGTGGTCCTTATCTTCCGCTGGGTAAAGTGCTTAGAAAGAACTTCTAGTATGGATTTTAAGAGAATTCCATTGAAACATGTGGCTAAAATCATCAAAATGCCGAATATAGGGAGGTACTGTTAAATGGGGGATATAAGATATCGTGGACCTATATAGATAATACTCTTCCAGGAGGTAAATTACTCAGAAGGAAATCCTATTGTGGATTTTCAGACAATTTCCCTCTTAAAAACAATTATCATTTAGAGATTTTTTATTTTAAATCTACACCAGTCTTTCGTTTGGAAAAAATATTTGAAAAAATCGACAACTAATGATATTGATAAAATATTTAAAAAATCCACGACTAGAACTAAAATTTTCCTGGAGGACAAGTCTTGGAAAATCCTCGATTAGTAGTCCATTGAAAAATTAAATAACCCACGATTAGTGGTTGTTTGCCAAAATATTTTACAAAATTTATTATTCGTTGCTTTTTGCATTTTATTGATAAATTTAGATTTGGGGTCAATTGGAAAACTTCTAAAACAAAAATTGGAGTCCGCTGAAAAAAATAAAAAATATTTTTTTAAAAATCCTCTTTGGTGGTCATGAAATTAATATTTTTAAAAATTTAGAATTAGGGTCAGTTAAAATAAAATTGAAAAAATAATAATTATTGGTCCGCTGGAGAAAATTATTTTCAAAAATCCTCTATAGAATTAATATTTTTAGAACAGAGTTTGGCTTGCTTGTTTGGGATACCATAGTATTTTGTTGTTGCAAAATCGTCAGGCGAATTAATAATTTTTAAATATTAATTTGTTTAAAAATCTATTTCAATCTGGTATCAATTGGAAAAAATTAAAAAAAATAATAGTTAGTGGTCAGCTGGAAAAAAATTTAAATCATCTTTAGTGGCCCTGGAAGTGATATTTTTAAAAATATATATTCGGGTTCAATTGGAAAAAATGAAAGAAAAATATAATAATTAGTGTTCATGGAATTAATATTTTTTAAAATCTAGATTTGGGTAAATTGGAAAAAAATAAAAAAGTGGCTCTAGAATTAATATTATTAAAAAAACATTATTATTTTTTAAAATCTATAAAATCTATCTATTGGAAGAAAATAAAATAAAAATAATAATTAGTAGTCCGCTGGAAAAAGTAAAAATGTTTAAACTTAAAAATCGTCTTTAGTGGCCCGGAATTAATATCTTTAAAAATCAAGATTTGGGATGAATTGGAAAAAAAAAATAAAAAAATAATAATAATTAATGGTCCACTGGAAAAAAAAATTTAAAAATCCTCCTTAGTGGTCCTGGAATTAATATTTTTAAACATGTCCACGTTGATGAAAAAAAATTATTTTTAAAACATATTGTAAAAAATCCAAATTCCATTGTTGGGGAGTCTAAGAAGAATTTTTACGAAATTCACAATTGTCGTTTTTCAAATTCTTTCCAATCATTGGCATATTGCTAAAATCTTTTCTTCTGCCTATTTTTAAAATTGAACAATATTATATATCTTATTTGCATCATATATTTAAATATATGTATAGAAGCTAGAACAAATTTTCCTAATAGCATAACATCGAAATGCATTATTAATATTTTGGAATGTGTCTTTGGTGTCGACCATACAAATACATTTAATAAATTAAATTGAAATGAGGGGGAAAATTGTATAGATATATTCAGGTGAAATGTGAAAGATAAATAAGACGTTTGGATGCAGAATTTCAATATTTTTAATTTTGTTTGAAATTTAAATACATTTAGGAACCCCCCAGAAGCCTCAGTTCACATGCATATTACAATATCATAAATATATGTTTTGTGTGTACCAGAGCAAAATATTTTCGTCGTTTATTAATAATTCATGCCATACCACCATCCATACATCCATCCGTCTATAGCCATAGAATTCAGAAGGCGACAACGATGCCAGAATAGGAACTTTTATATATTTTTAGCCTTTACGAAAAAGTTCATTACACTTTTGAACTAAAAAATCATTGCCTAAAATGTATTTCGATGGGGAGGAGGGGGAAGGGGGAGCAACATTTTAGCATCTTGTCTCCACACACCAAACCAAAAACAACAACAACGAGTAAGGCAATGGTTTTATGTGGATGTTAGTACATACATGCATACATATGTATGCAATATTTAGAAATTGGAGGGAATATTTGGAAATATTTGGTTTCAAATTCAGTATTTTTTGTCCGAAATGGCTGGAAAAAATATTGCATACATCTGAAATAAATGACTTATTGACTGACAGAGAATCAACTCCCAGACAAGGCGGCTGAAGCTGGAATCTTGAAATTTTGCCCGAGGGTCAGTTGGGGTGTGTAAGGCTGGCTTTTTTGGAAATTTCCATTGAAAGGGTACGTAAAGTACTAAAATGTACTAAAAATTGAATACTTTGTATTGGACAAACAGAATGAGCTAGAATTCTGCAATTTGGAATGATAGTCACTGATGGAGTACAGGAGCCAACAACTTTGGTAGGAGAACCAAGGTTGGAACATATAAATGAAGGTGATTTTGGAAATGTGTACTATAAGTGATGGAAATCTAATAAAATATTCTACGACTAAAACCTTAATAGTGACTTTTTGAGTCCTTGAAAATCACTCAACTAAAATATTGTTCCGAAATTTTATGAAAATTCAATTCTAGTCGTCAATGCAAAATGGGAAATACAGGGTGAGATAAAAAACGCCATAATTTTTACATTTTTTTTTAAATTTTATTGAATAAAAGCAAAAAATGTCGGAAATAGCATCAAAATTCTAGAATAAGTTTAGATTTATTCGAATTGGTAACCTTTGGCACGAATTATAGCCTTCAAACGGCCAATGAAACCGTCACACGCTGCCCGAATGTTGCTCTGCGGTATTTTGGCCCGATTTGGTATTTTGGTATTTTTTAGTACCAACCTTGCTTTCCAAAATACTCCAGATACAATTATTCAACGGATTGGTATCCGGAGATTTTGGTGGCGATTGTGCACTGGAAATGAAGCGAGGAATCTCATTTTGTAACCATTCTTGGTTGGCGCGTGCTGAGTGTGATGTTGCTGAGTCCTGTTGGAATGTCCAAGGTCTGCGGCCAAAATGTTTCCGTGCCCAAGGCTTTAATACACCCTCCAGAATATTTTCGCGATAATATTCGGCATTTATTCTGATGCCAGGTCGATTAATTCGAGCGGAGAGTGACCATTGGCTGTTATGGCGGCCCATACAATCACCATGCCGGCGCTTGAGTTCTGGTGGCCAACCGAAGGAGCACATTTTCAGCTGACCTCTTTGGCAAGTAAACACGATCATTTTGTTTGTTTTCAAACTGCTGGACAACGAATGTTTTCTCATCGGAGACGGAGAAAATTAAATTCGGCAGTTTACCACTTTCGGCCAAGCGAAACAACTCTTTAGCTCTTTTGAGTCTATTTTATTTCCGTTGCAGTGTAAGTTCTTGCACTTCCTGGAATTTTAATGGCTTTACCCCGAGCTCATTTTTCAATATTTGCCGAATGGAATATTGCGACATGTTCAGCTCACGAGCCATTTTTTTGGCCATTGCGACGCGGGTTTCAATCAAGGCGCTTCTTTACTTTTCGAACCATTTCTGCTGATGTTGTTGTTTTCTTCCGTCCGCTTCCTTGACATATGTCGGGCTACGCTACCAGTATCACGGTAACGGACGATGGTACGAGACACAAAAGATTTATTCACATTTAAATGCTGAAGTGCTCTAACGATAGCCACTTGTGTGTTTCCAGCCAAATATAAAAAAATCACACTATCACGCTTGAATTCCATCACGAATAACTTTTTTTTTCGGGAAAATCCTCACCAAAATGCTTTTGAACGCTTCTGAACAATATAATAAGTTGTCACTGGACGAGTGGTTTAGAAATGACAGCAGTCTGAAGTTGATTGCAGTTTTTTCATCCCACCCTGTATATTTTTTCTGTTTTCTTTTTTTTTGCAGATAATGAATGAAAATTCAATTCTAGTCGTCAATCCAAAATGGGAAATACTTAAAATTTTAAGAAAAACAAATGGCACTTAACTTTATGCACAATAAATACAGTTGTGCACAAATTACTGTTAAATTAGCATTTGTTGTTGTTGTGAAACATATTTTTTTTTGTGGGAACGGAAACTGGGCTAACAGTTCTAAAAATATGATTTCTTCTTTGAACAACACATGTCCAATTAGAATGAGTGGCTAAAATTACGCGCCTAACTAATTACACTGAACAACACAAAATGCAAAAATAAATTATTAATTTTTCGGAAAGTATTTTACAAAATTTGAAACGAATGGTATTTTGAAAAAATATTTAAAAAATCAAAAAAAAAAAAATATATAAAAATAAATCTCTTACATTGTTTCTTTGGAAAAAATCCGTGAGAAAAAACAATAATACTTTTGCAGAAGTATTTTTTTAAAAATCCATTAATAACAGTTAAAAAAAAAATAAAATAAAAAAATCGCGATTAGACAGAAATAATATTTTTAAGAAAATTGCAAATATTAAAACTATTTGTAAAAAAATCGGTTCGTCCTTTAGATTTTTTATTAATTCCTTAGGAATTTTAGAACTTAGTGGTTCATGAATTGTGGCCTTTGGAAATCATATTTTAAATAACCAATATTAGATACACATTTTTAAACAAATAAAAAAACAGCTAAGTTCGGCCGGGCTGAACTTTTTATACCCTCCACCATTCGGAAGGAACTTGAAAAATTAAAAAAAAAAAAAATCCGTCGAAAAATACGCTCAAATGAAAACCTTTATATGGGGTATAAGTAATTTGTTATCATAGGCTGTAGTAACGATTCCGAACTTCAAATACGAAATTTGACGCAACTCCGGTGAATAATGTCGCCAATATCATCAAAATACCGAATAAGGAAGATACCATTGTGTGGGAGCTATACTAAGACGTGGATCTGCAGAGCAATTTCTCGTCATAGGTTGTAGTACCCATTACGAAATTCAAATACGAAATTTGACTCAATTCCGGTGAATAATGTCGCGAAAAAGCTGGAAATACCGAATATCTTGGGGTATCGTTATATTGGTGCTATACTAAAACGTAGACCTATATAGACAATTCTCTTCCAGGGCGTAAAGTACTTAGAAGGAACTCCTTGTGTGGATTTTCACATTATTCCATTGAAAAATGTGGCTAAAATTATCAAAATACCAAAAAGTCGTTGGGTTCCTTTGTGGACCTATATAGAAAATTCTTATTCGGGGAATAAGGTACTCACAGAGAACTCCTTGTGTAAAATTTCAGACAATGTCATTAAACATTTGTGACAAAAATCATCAAATTATATGGGGGATATAGGATATCATGGACCGACAGGGTAAGATAAAAAAAAACTGCAATGAAGTCAAACGCCATAATTTTTACATTTTTTTTTTAAATTTTATTGAATGAAGGCAAAAAATGTCGGAAATAGCTTAAAATTTTAGAATATGTTTAGATTTGTTCGAATTGCTCAACTTTGACACGAATTATGGCCTTCAAACGGCCAATGAAACCGTCAGACGCTGACCGAATATTGCTCTGCGGTATTTTGGTCCATTCCCGGCGAAGCGCTTGCTTGAGGTGATTGACACTTTGGTATTTTTTAGTACCAACCTTGCTTTCCAAAATACCTCGGACACAATAGTCCAACGGCGAAGCGCTTGCTTGAGGTGATTGACACTTTGGTACTTTTTAGTGCTAACCTTGCATTCCAAAATACCTCGGACACAATAGTCCAACGGATTGGCATCCCGAAATTTTGGTGGCCATTTTGAGCTGGAAATGAAGCGGAGAACCTCATTTTGTAACCATTCTTGGGTGGCGCGAACTGAGCTGAGTGCGATGCTGAGTCCTGTTGGAATGTACAAGGTATGCGGTCAAAATGTTTGCGTGCCCTAGGCTTTAAGGCACCCTTCAGAATATTTTCGCGATAATATTCGGCATTTATTCTGATGCCACGGTCGATTAATACGAGCGGAGAGCGACCATCGGCTGTTATGGCGGCCCACACCATAACCATGGCCGGCGCTTGAGTTCTGGTGGCCAACCGAAGGTGCACATTTTTAGCAGACCTCTTTGGCAAGTAAACACGATCATTCTGTTTGTTTACAAACTGCTGGACAATGAATGTTTTCTCATCGGAGAAAATCTAATTTGGCAGTTCACCACTTTCGGCCAAGCGAAGCAACGAGCCATTTTTCGGCCACTCCGACGCGGGTTTCGATCAAGTCCTTTTTTATTTTTGTCATTCCGTTTGTCACTTCTCCAAATATATATATTCTTGTCAAAGTATATATATTCTTGATAAGCGTAAAATTCTAAGACGATTTAGCCATGTCTGTCTCTCTGTTGTAGTCATGCATGATCTTAGCGACATTATTCACCGGAATTGTTTCGAATTTGCTATTTGAAGTTCATAATGGATGCTATAGCCTAATACAGAAAACTGTCTGTGCAGGTCCACGTCTTCGTATGGCCCCCATATAAAGGTACCACCCGATATTCGGTATTTTGATGATTTTGTTGACAATATTCACCGGAATTGTGTCAAATTTTGTATTTGAAGTTCGCAATGAATACTAAATCCTAAGATATAAAATTGTTTTGTTCAGGTCCGCGCCTTCGTATAGCCCCCATATAACGATACCTCCCGATAATCGGTATTTTGATGACTGTAGCTACATTATTCACCGATTTTTTTTTCAAGTTTCGCAGTTGAATATTGGCTTATGGCTTATGAAAAAAATTACCTATGCAGGTCCATGTCCGTACATTCGATATTTATAAGATTTTAACGGATTTTATTGTTTTTGAGAATTGCCAAATTCGTTCCAAATGGTGGAGGCTATTCAAAGTTTGGCCCTGCCGAACTTACAGCTTTTTTACTTGGTACTTTTCAAACCATTTTTACTGATGTTGATGCTACAAGTATCACGGTAACGAGCGATACTGGTACGAGACACAAAAGATTTATTCACATTTAAATGCTGGAGTGCTCTAAAGATAGCCACATGCGAGTTTCCAGCCAAATATAAAAAAAAATATAATGAGCTGTCACTGGGATAACTTTAACAGCTGTCGGACGAGTGGCTTAGAAATGGCAGCAGTCTGAAGTTGGTTGCAGTTTTTTCATCTCACCCTGAGATTTTTTACCTGGAATCTGTGTACTTAAATATATGAATTAAACAAAATTTGATTTTAAGGATCAACATACCAATATCCGTTGATTTCATAACAATCTATCTTCAAGGACTATTAGTAAATTTGTTAATTTGTTTTTTTTTATATTATAGCATATTTTTAATGCTATTTGTTCCAAGACCATTCGTGGGTTTTGACGTATTTCTATTCAATAACCTAATTTTGTGGACTTTAAATTGATTTTTTAATAATAATAGAGGCCAGGTACCAGCTCGTTTGGAATAATAACATGTTTCACGTAAATTTTACAAGGGTCAAGGGATTTTAAGAAAAAATAATTTTTAGTTAATAATTTTTAATTTTTATGATATATACTTTTGAATGATCTCAGATTTTTATTATAACTTTCATTCACAACTAACAGGTTTTTTTCATTTTTTTCAAGGAAGTAACATGTCAATATTTCCAATTTTTATTAGTTTTTAAATTTATTTTTTCAAAATTAAATATTATTTATTCAAAAATGACCGACATTGTGTTCCTCGATTTTTTAACATTACTTTTTAAGTTGTCACAAATCAATGCTATGGACTTGGCACTATAATTTTTTAGATCTGCAAAACATGTATATACATTTAAGGAGCCACCACGGAACCAACAGTTGAAAGTTGGATCAACTGTTCATGATTGCGGTATTGGTTTGATGTTAATGTCACTGTTTTCTTACATTCCTTCAAAGATCAAAATCATTTTTTGAAATTTTCGAGGTCGTCAAAAGAATATTTTTAATTTTTCAAACAAATATATCATAAATAAATATGCGTCCTCTATTTAACGAATTTTTAAATATATGAAAAACACAATCTGTTGATCCACTTTAAAAATCGTTCTTAAAAACTACCCAATGTCTCTGTACTGGCCCTAGATAAATTATTTGTACTATTTTTATTATTTATTTGTTTTTATTTATTTTCAATATTTTAATTTCCTGTTTTTTTTTTTCCTACAGAATCCCATAGTTTTCCCAACAAGGAGCCGGAAGAGCATTCGCATAGTTCCAGTTCCAACAAAAATCCCCCGAATATATCATTCAGCGAGAATTCAAGCTCATTGGTACGATGTTTGCCGAACGAAAGAGCGACGTTTTTTGTGAAAATCGATGCCGATGAAAATGAGGTGGATATTTTGCCGCTACAATTTGAGTGGTAAGTAGAGGAAGGAAACATATAAACGTACTTATAAACAAATGTATAGGAAAATGTCAAAACCAGTGACATTTGACATATTTTTACAATAATTAATGAATGCTACCAAATCAATCTCTGGCAGATGGGGAGAAGAATATTTTTTATTTAAAGACAGCCACCCTTCTGTCATGGGATGGATGCGGTCTTCATAACATGGTTTTCTGTTGATTTCATAAATATTTATTTCTTTTTCTCAAATAATAATAATAATAATGATGACTTTTAAAATAGTTTTTCATTTTTTTGAAGAAGAAGAAACAGAAGACCTTACATTTATATTAAGATTGATGACGGAGTCTCAGAAGAAATTCTTTGTCAAAAAAAAAAGATTTCTTCGTTGTTTTCATTTGTCGTATAGTTTTTTTTTTTTGGTTTGCGGCACAAAATTAACTTTTTGTTAGGAAAATAGCAACAAAAACAGAATATTCAAAATGAACAAAAATTTAAATACATAATGGATGAATGTTGTTGTTGTTTAGATCAGCGTGTGTGTGTCCGAGAGTGTGTGCCTTTAAAGACACATGCAAAATACATATCCTAACAAATTTATGATTTGAAACAATGCCAAGGAAAATATTGACTCAGTTAAATTCGAAATGAAACAAAACAACAAAGACCCAAACAATAATCATCATATGTTTCAATATAATGATGCACATGTACTTGCCAGCGAGGCGTACGAATGTGACTTAACTTTTAACCCCTTGAAGGACTGTGGGATAGAGGAATATGTGGAGAAGTAAGGAATTATTTTCCCCTTGCAAGTGCCCACTACTTCGCCCGAGGAAAGTCCACCTTAAAATTTTACATTCGTTCCAAACGTTCGTGTTAGGCCTTTTTAGTACTCAAAATGGACAATTTGTTCAATTTGACAATATTTTTTAATCAAAACTTTAGACATCGTACAAGATTTTCCGACTTTCAAGGTTTTTAAAGTTTATCGTGGAGGAGCCTCATCATATTTTTCGGCCCACAACTATTTTAAAGTCTCCATATGTAAACCCTAGAAACCAAAAGTGATCTCAAAATCAAATATCAGAATTTCAGCTCTATGCCTTCACCCAATATCATATTTAGTAGCATTTAGTTTTATTTGTATATTTAAAGTAAGCATTTTCTAAACAATGTCTATAACTCAACCTCAGATACCAACATTGACCTTAATATCAAATTTCAGGATTTCAGCTCTTAAATGTCTACCATTTCCAAATTTAGTACCATTTTGTACAATTACAGGGTGAGATAAAGAAAAACTGCAACAAAGTCAAACGCCATAATTTTTACATTTTTTTTAAATTTTATTGAATGAAAGCAAAAAATGTCGGAAAAAGCATCAAATTTTAGAATAAGTTTAGATTTGTTTGAATTGGTCACCTTTAACACGAATTATGGCCTTAAAACAGCCAATGAAACGTCACACGCTGCCCAAATGTTGCTCTGCGGTATTTTGGCCCATTTCCGTCGAGGTGCTTACTTGAGGTGATCGAAACTTTGGTATTTTTATTTGCCAACCTTGCTTTCCAAAACACTCCAGACACAATAGTCCAACGAATTGGTATCCCAAGATTTTGGTGGCCACTGTGCGCTGGAAATGAAGCGAGGAACCTCATTTTGTAACCATTATTGGGTGGCACGTGCTGAGTGCGATGGTGCTGAGTCCTGTTGGAATGTCCAAGGTCTGCGGCTAAAATGTTTGCGTGCCCAAGGCATTAAATACACCCTCCAGAATATTTTCGCGATAATATTCGGCAATAATTCTGATGCCAAGGTCGAATTATACGAGCGAAGAGTGACCATCGGCTGTTATGGTGACCCACACCATCACCATGGCCGGCTTGAGGCTTGAGTTCTGGTGGCCAACCGAAGGTGCACATTTTCAGCTGACCTCTTTGGCAAGTAAACACGGTCATTTTGTTTTGTTTACAAACTGCCGGACAACGAATGTTTTCTCATCGGAGAAAACCAAATTCGGCAGAATTTCAATGGCTTTACCCCGAGCTCATATTTCAATATTTGCCGAATGGAATATTGCGATATGTTCAGCTCACGAGCCACGAGCGATGCGGGTTTCGATCAAGTCTCATCTTTACTTTTCGAACCATTTCTGCTGATGTTGCTGTTGTCTTCCGTCCACTTCCTTGACGTCGGGCTATGCTACCGTCGGGGCTATCACGTAAACGAGCGATGGTACGAGACACGAAAGATTTATTCACACTTAAATGCTGGAGTGCTCTAACGATGGCCACTTGTGGTTTTCCAGCCAAATGTAAAGAAATCACACTATCACTCTTGAATTCCATCACGAATAACTTTTTTTCTGGAAAATTCTCACCAAAATGCTTTTGTACGCTTGTAAACAATATAATTAGCTGTCACTGGAATAATTTTAACAGCTGTCGGATGAGTGGCTTTGAAATGACAGCAGTTTGAAATTGGTTGCAGTTTTTTCATCTCACCTTGTATATTTTAGATCAGCGTAAAATTCTAAGACGACTAAGCCCTGTCTGTCCGCCTGTTCACGCTAGAGTTAAAACTAATTAAGATAGTAAGCTAAAATTTTGCACCGAACTGTCTTTTGTCTGTTCTAAGATGGGCTTTATCGGTCCACGATATCGTGTATCTCCCATATGACAGTACCCCCAATATTCGGTATTTAGAAGATTTTAACCATATTTTCAATGGAATTGTCTTAAATTCTACACAAGGAGCTGTCTGTGAGTACTTTATCCCCTGAGAGGAAATTATCTACGTCCACGATATACAATATAGCCCCCTACAATGGTGCCCCCCGAATATTGGGTATTTTGATGATTTTAGCCACAGTTTCCAACGGAATTGGCTTAAAATCCACACAAGGAGTTCCTTCTGAGTACTTTAAACCCTGAAGAGAATTCCGAGACATTCGCTATTTCCAGGATTTTCGCGAACATTATTCACCGGAATTGCGTCAAATTTCGTATTTGAAGTTTGTAATGAGTACTACAGCCTATGACGGAAAATTATCTATGCAGATCCACGCCTTAGTATAGCTCCCATACAACGGTACCTCCCTTTATTCGGTATTTTGATGATACTAGCGGCATTTTTACCGGAATTTGTTTCGAATTTCGTATTTGAAGTTCGGAATCGTTACTACAGCCTATGACAAAATTATTTATACAGTACCACATCTTCGTATAGCCCATATAAAGGTATTTTTCGACAGATTTTATTTGAAATTTTTAAGTTTCTTCCGAATGGTGGAGGGTATACAAAGTTTGGCATGGCCTAAATTAGCTGCTTTTTCACATGGTTTTTTCTCTGAAACATTTTGATTTTCCACTGGAAATTAATGAATGGAAATCGAAATTCTTGGCGCCTTCCAAACAAAAGTTCTAAAAATAATGAAGAATTTTCGACAAATTTCCGACGTAGATAAATGACATGTCATATATCTCGGAAAGATGGTGTCAAGGTTTTTTACAAAAAGAATTTTTAACTAAAAAAAATATTTTTGTTAATAAATGACAATTTTCAATATGGTGACAACATAAATTAATTAACGAATTTAGGGTTTAGCCCTTAGAGGAAGCAGGCGACTTTTTTAAAACATAACATTTGTCTTCAAAAAAAAAAATCCAAGCAATAACAACAATTATGAGAATGCTCAACCATTAAATCATGCAGATTTCAAAGAGTGTTTCGAGAATTTTTTTTTTAAATTTTTTTTGAGAATTCTTAACGCGCACAACTTTTGCTAAGAAATTCGGCTGCGCCATGAGAACAGCCAAAAGCTCTGCTAATGGCCAGCTCCTGCTTTGAGCACCCCCAATGCTGTGCTGTTGGCCATTCACGCAACGCGAATTAGCCAGTCCAACTTTGACGATCGCCTTAAGAAGAACGAAACAAAGAAAATTAAACAACCGTTGTCCGTTGCGGCATAATTTGAATTTTTTACTAAAAAAAAAATATAGCAACAACACTAGAAAAGAAGAAGAGAAAATAAGAAAGAAAAAAAAAATATTTTTGTTCTTTAAAAAAATAAATTCGAAAAAAATTAAAGAAAAGAAAAATAAATATATTGTTTTTGGAAGATTTTGAAAATCTAACGGGCGAATGTGTGTGTGTGTGTAAAATAAAAAAAATATTATGAAAGTTATTAGCTGAAATAATAGCATACATAATTACGAAATTTTGGGTTTTGAAAAAAAAGAGGAAGAGAAAAAAAGAAAACAGCAACCTCCTTAAAGGTAGTTTAAACCATATCTAAGTGGGGAAAATTAAGATGCACTAAAAAATAATAAAAATAAATAAAATAAAAATAGTAGTAATTATAAAAGTTATAATAATATTAATAACTATTGCAATATAAATAAAAAAACCCTTATATTATTTAAATTAATATTAATCGAAGCAATAATTATATTTATAATAACGAAAAAAAAATAAAATTATATTTTCAATATCAAGAAAAAGTGAATTGTTTATACAACAAAATGAAAATCTGAAATATGTATATAAAGAAAATCATGCATCATTCCCCAATGAAATCTGCCAAAGGCCTGTTCTGCTAAATGCATTTTGAAATAAGTGAAAATTGTCTGCATTCTAAAGAAATTTTGAAATAATCGTGTGTGTTTTGAAAGTGAACATATGTTTGTAAACTGGCTGCCTGTCTGACTGCACCGCACCTCTACCCCCCAACATCAGGCTGCAGTAATCCCCCTTTATCCCTGTTTTCAAAACAAAAACAAAAAACGGAAATTTCATCGAAAAAAAGTCTTTAATCATATCTGCTGTAATGTGAACAGATTTTAATTTATAATTTTTTTTTTTCACTTGTGTATGCGTGTTTGTCTGTGTGTATTTATTGCATAATAAACATTTTGTGTTAACAAATGTGAAAAATACACGATTTTTTATCACAAAAAAAAAACATCAGTCGCCCGAAAAATAAGAAACATCATCTCTGCTTAACC